TATCACACACTGTGTGATATATTGTTGCACGCACTGCTATACTCTGGATCCATGCATTGTTTTACTTCATCTACATGGCTGTCAAGATATGAGACAAATTCAGTACTATGACATCATACAATGTGTACTACACAATATGAAGAAGAGGAAAGAGAAACAGAATGACAGCAGTCCTGCAAGTCTTGTACCACTGAGTTCTTTCCTAGCTGGAATAGTGACAATCAACAGATGGGTGACAACAATCATTATAATGCTAAGAAATCTGTGAAATCAAGCCGTAAGAGGGATACACATGACCCCTTCCACACACTGAATGACAGTACAGAGGGGGTTGCAATGCCATACTGTGAATTGCACTGCTGTCATTATTGACTAAATGTCAGTCTGATAAATGTTGGAAAGAGTTGGCTGCACATACAGGTGTATGCAAGAACTCTCCCCAATTAAAACAGCAACAAACAACTAGAAGAGAATCATGTTGGCAGTGTAAGCATGTGAGGCTACTCTGCACAGCCCCATAACCTCTCTCTGCATTTAATGTGTGGGGTGGAGGCACAGGTACTCCCTTCAAACTTTCCCTTAATCCCTCTGAAAAGGAAGAAAGAACATGAGTTCATGATTACCGTAGTTCCTTCAGCCTGCAAATGAAGTGGCCTAGGTTTTGGTACAGGATAAAATCCATCAGAAAGGCTATTGTGGAAGTATAGGCAATGTTTTCCATGAAATGGATAATAAATATACAAAAATCAGTTTCATGAGAACCTGAGATCAGCAATCTTCAGCCTGATCTAGGTATACTTTCAGATGGCCCATGAGACCAGTAAAAAAGAGAAAGAGAAAGAAGCTAGTTTTAATTTTAATTTTTCAAAAGAAGAATCAAGTTAGTATTTAGCTATAATACAAGCAAATTGATTTTTTTCTCCTCTGGAACCAACATGTGAAGAGACAGAAGCCAGCTAGCAACTTTGCTTTAGAATTTCTTTAGACTAATAGTTCTAAAAGAGAAGACCATTTATTAAGCTGTGTTGTTCACATGAGTTGGAAACCCCCCACTGTCAAAGACGGATAGATTTTTTGCTCCACTTTTAGTTAACTACCAATTATCATTTTGTTTATATATAAAGATCCCCCCCTCCAAAGAACATAAGAATGCAACACACCATTTAAAGGTCAGGAACCACAATTAAATCATAATGATTAAGATCTCTTTGGGAAAAAGAGATATTAATTGCAACAAGTACCCAGTTTATAGGAGATGGAATAGTTTCTAGTTTTCTTCAAATTCATAATACTAATATGAAATGCATCAAAATCATATCATTTAAGTTAATATGTAGCATTTGAATCCAATGCTTCCAGCTTTTGGTGACATGTATGAATTCCTACCAATATAAGTCAAAATTTCAATGTAACCCATTACTAGATCTGGAAAAATGGGGAAAATAGCACTCTTGACACCACATCAGGATAATTTTCACTACATGACTTAAAATCAATTTCATGCATCTTCAAGTACTTCCAGTCTCAAATACAAAGCTATTTTTACTTCCTCAGCAAGTATTCATTGCAAAGGGCATAGAGCCACAGACACTGATACTTGAATCAGCAAGCTGGTACAAGTCCAACTAACATTAATGTTACATTCTTCAGCAGAGCTAGTTCAGTGATTGGCCGGAGTTTAAAGAGTCACGTAAACAGAACAAACTTCATGAAGTGTAATCAGTGACAAATCCCCTGCTTGTAAAAGCATCTGTTCCTTTCAGAGGCAAACACGAATGCCTTTATACAGAAATTTATGGTATATTTTACACTAAGTATTCATAAGTTCTGAAATAAAATGAGAAAAAGCATTTGTCAATTTTATGACAGCCCAGTATTTAAAAAGTTCTCAATAAAATGCCAGACTAGCTGCAGCTATTCTATTTCCCCTGAATACTAGACACAGGCAATCAGTGATGGGGCATGTATGACTCTCCGACTCTTGCTGGACTGCATCACCCAACATCCCTAGCCACAGGGCTCATCAGATATGGAGGACCAAAGAGTCCCACTTCCTAGTCTAAATTGGGAATGTAGCAAGTGAATAAAGATATGTGGGCAAGGAACAAGAAGAAAGAGTATAAAGAAACAAACCAATATAAATATTACTAGAGAAGAACTATTATTAAATATAATTTAAAGTTTCTATAAATCGCTTTTCTACCACCCTCAAAGCGATGTACCATTTTAAAGATTGTAAGTACAATTAAACCTAACATCTTGTAGCACTTTAAGGAATGAAAAAATAATTGTGGCATAAACTTTTGTATACTGTCATCCACATCATCAGATGCAACTGACCTTAGTCCGCAAAAGCCTACATCACAATAAACGTGTTAGGATGCAACCCTATGGCCTCTAAACAGAATCGAGCCAGCACAAAAACACACTAAGGTCTGCCCTGGATTTTCAACCTCAGCGTACCCTCCCTCCATCCTCACAGCTGACACAGTTCTTTTCTTTCTGGAAGACCAATGCTGGAGTTGCAGGTCTATGAACAGCGAAGGGATGACTGAGTTATGATACCATCTCGGCTTAGTAACCTACTCAGTCTTTGCAGCATAGAAGTGCACAGGTGACTTTTGCCTCCACACACCTTCCATCCTCCACTAGATGCCCATAATCCTCCAAGTTTGGAAAGTTACACACAGCCACACTGAATGGCCCAGCCCATTTTTAAGGTGCCACATGATTAGCTGCATAGAAGTAGTATCCCATAGAATCCTATTCGTACAAAATGCCAGTGCTGTGGAGTTGGTACATAAAATGTTCAATTCCAATCCCAACTCCTTGTTTGACTCCAACTCGTTTATTTATACATCAACATAGGCAATAAATATACTAATTATTTATATCCTGTATTGATTGAAAGCAATCAAGCTACAAAACACTGCAAGTATCTTTTAATATCTGATGCACTTGCAGGTGCATTTTCATCAGAACCACAAAAACTACTAATTTTGGCAACACAAGCTTTTTCACAATCATCACCTTCTATAATACACTGACATACTTAACATTTCCCATCTGTTGTTATTGTAAAGTGTTCAAAAAGAGCTGACTTTGTTGACTTTTTTTACCACTGTGAATTTTTAATGTGGCACTACCTTCACTAATATATGAAATTAAAATATATCCTGAAAATATGACCTGAAAAAATAGGTTAATCAAATTATTATTTGTGAAACAGGAAGTGTTAACATATTATTTATATTACAATTTAAATGTATTGGGAGTTGGAATCGGCACATTTTTACCAACTCCAACTCCAGTAACCCAAGAGCTGCTTTGACTCCAACTCCACAGCCCTGTAAAATGCACTGCCAGTTTTAAGAAAATCCTCATAAATAATATATTTTGCCACCAGATGACAGCAGGTCTGAACTCAGTTGTGCAGCAAGTATATTTCATAAGCCATGATAGTATAAATGCAGAAGCTATTTCAAAATGAACTTGCATCATGTAAACAGTACAGTTCCTTTAGAACATGCAATCTAATATGGTAAGAAATGAAGTAACAAAGTTGACAAATGGCAATTCCCTCACTACTACCATGTTTCCCTGAAAATTAGACCTATCCCAAAAATAAGACCTAGTACTATTTTTGGTACTTGCTAAAATATAAGACCTACCCCAAAAATAAGACCTAGCTGTGTTTATTCCCAGGGCCAGTGGGGAACATAAAGAGCCTTTTTAAACTTTATTTTTTAACTTAACTGTATTTATTTATTTATTTTTCAATTTATATCCTGCCTTTCCCTACAAAGGGCTCAAGGCAGCTTACATCATCTCTCCTCCTCCATCTTAACCCCACAACAACAACCCTGTGAGGTAGGTTGGGCTGAGAATCTGTGACTGGCCCAAAGTCACCCAGTTGGCTCCATGGCTGAGCGGGGACTAGAACCCAGATCGTCTGAGTCCCAGTCCCATGCTCTTAACCACTACACCACACTGGCTCTCATTAACTTTAACTTAATGCACTCTGTGGAGGAAACATGCTTATGCAGCTCTGCTCCCTCCGCTCCCTGTGATACCAAATGTGCTCCACCTGTAACAGGAGCCGGCGCTATAGAGGAAGCATCGACTTATGTGGCTCTGTGCGGAGGGAGCAGAGCCGCTTTTATAAGCCGATGATTCCTCTATAGCGCCGGCTCCTGTCACAGACGGAGTGATACCAAATGTACCAAATGTACATGTATGCATGCTGTAGTACATGAATAAGTGTGGATTGTTGTACACATTACAAAATAAAAAAAAAAAATAAGACCTAGTGTGTTTTTGTGAGCCAAAAAAAAAAGACAGTGTCTTATTTTCGGGGAAACATGGTAGTATAATTACCTGCAGACCTGGCATAAATTTAAGCAAGTATTATTTCTCTGTGATGTACCTTCACTTACAACTATGTCAAACTGCACAAGCCCTCTAAATAGAAAGCACATCCATGTATCTGAGTGCGAAAGCGGCACACACCAGCTGTTTCACCAAACACATACATGCAATTGGCTGCTAGCAAAAGCATCAGATTAAAATTCAGGGTCACATAACTATCTATAAGCAGTTTACTAAATGTTTGACACTTCTAATACCAAAGTATTTTCTTTTAGAAGATCACTGTAAAAGCAATGATCCTGTTAGGTGAGACCTGAAAAAACTACAGCAGGGATATATAGTAACTGTTGGCTAGCATGTAAGCAAAGAGACTTGTTTCCTAAAGTCAGGTTCCCCCACCCCTCATGAGAGAAAACTAAATGCCTAACTATTAAGCATCAGAAAGAGAAACTTACACGTATATTTCACAGTTACATTAGGTCCTTGAAAATATATCAGTGTTCTCTGGCTCCCATTAGCCTTCTTAAAACAACCAAGGTGCCGCCAAATTGACTTTATCCTAGAAAATGCCACTGTTAAACTATATTTAGTACTTGGAGTACATCTGGTGGAAAATGAGGTGTTTGATTTACCTGGAGTGCTTACACCACAACACTCCTCATGCCAAGAAAATGACAATCTAAAAAGAAACCAATATAAAAGCAGTCACATTAGTCACAGCAATTTTAGCACAAACATCACTGCCAGGGTCCTCACATACTAAATGGGGTTTGCTGTTTAGTCCTGCATGTATTCTCCCCTTTCTCTTGATTTCTGGCACCTAATGGCAACATTCATTCAAAACTAAGGCATTCTATAGCTTAGATAAAGTTGAAAGACTGAATTTTTACAATAGAGCATGAGCAAACTCACCTGGTCCCACCCAAATCAACAAAGAAAGTGGCAGGCACAAACCTCTGATCAGGGAGGAGGAACAAAAGATTAATAGAATAAGCATAGTTGGCAATACAGTTGGCAATAAGTGAAAGCCTCGATCTGCCACCCGCTTTCAGTCATATGAAAGGAAGTATCTGCTCAACGTTACCACAAGCTGCTAAGGCAAGACCAGCAAATGATAAATGAGCTGCCTGCCCCCTAAATCTATTACCAGAGCTTCAACAGAGGATTGAAAACCCATTTACAATATTCAAAATTTCAAGCTCTTACTCCAACATTTTCTACTTCGGCTGAGCTGTTCCAGTAGCTTTGACAAATTTTTGAAAGGTTTTCTCTTTCAATCCTTGGTCATACATTTTAAATACAGAATACAGCACACACCTCTACATATTTTAAAGTAACTCCTTCATAACATCAGAACAACATCATTTTCAGTAAGCTTCTACAGATGAAAGCATAAAAGAGTCATGAAATAAAAACTGAGAGATGTGCACACACATAGAGAAAACATTCAGACATCAGGATATTCAGAAACTGTTGCTGAAATTCTACATTTCTGTGCTGGAACATTTGTCCCTGCAGTATGCTTCAACAAGAATCAGCCTGGGTTATTAGGTTGTAAGTGTCAAGATAACATACACAAATACCTCTACACTGCACTTCTAAACACCAGGTTTGTAAACTGAGGAAAATGTACTAGCAGCAACCCTACACATGGCTGGCACTGTTTACAAACCTTATGGATTATGACAGATAAGGAAATCACTTCCCCTGTCTTAGACACCATTCGGAGCATGTAGTATTACATCTAGAATTTGAACGGTGCTGCTGTTGCTTCCTTTCAATTCTACAGCAAACCCAGCTCCATGCACAAAGTAGTCTTTTCGCTTTCCGAAACACTGCTGCTTTCCCAAATTATACATAAATGACTATGAGTGGTTCATTTCGCTTGTGACATCTAGAGAAACTCAACAGCTAAACAAAACTAATTTACAAATGATTATCAAAATCCAAAATGAGTCCAGCTGTCATCTATTAGGTAATCTATTCTATTATTTGCAAATGCTTGGATACTTAGGAAAAAACTGAGAAATCTAAATATTTAAAATCATGCCAACTGTAATGAATTTTTAAAATTCGACTTTTCTACAATATAACTCTCAATATAATAAATGTCAACAACAAAAGCCTTGTCTAAAATTGGCTGCATGCACTCTGCAATTTCTAGTATGATAAACATGAATTACATTATACATTCTCCTGTTGAAAATTACTGAGAAACTGTATAAATTTTGGAAAACACCAACCTTATATCTGAGCTATTTCACAATTCCAAAACTATAATATACATTCAAATATTATGTTAAGTCATATTTGCTATTTGTCTGTGGAGACATCTTTGTTCATGCACAGATACAGTTACTAGGAATAATTTTTTTCACTATGTCAAGATACATTTTGAAGTTTGCATGATAAAAGACTGAGTTGTTGTCTTTATTTTTTAATTACCAGCCAACTTTAAAATCTGTATACAAGGTATTCAATGAGCAAACCTGAAATACACAATGCTGCATTAAATAAACAATGGTCCATTTAATCCAAACACAGTTACTACATTTTTCATAACTGATCAACAGTAATGCATAACAAGTAGCTAATTAAAAATAAACAGCATAAGAACACCACTATACAGATGTTTGAAAAAGTTCTGTATGCCTTTGTATAACTATAAAGTGCCAACAAATTAACAAAATAGCTACAACGAAACAGGAAATGAATTGCACATTCATTTGAAAGGAAGAGAGTTGATGTTAAAAATGGAACTCTTGCTCCCACACAACAGCAGACCCAACAGCACCCCCAGACACAGTCAAAAGCCCTTAAATAACTTGTCCTTTGATCATATTAAGCAGCAGACAAGCTGCCATTCCTGGCTTCCTTAAGTATCACAATCCCTGCACAACATATATTTAAAAGCAGCTACACTGTGTGTGAATTAGAACCCTGACCTGCAAAAAGGAATAGCTAACACCAATTTGGAAGAGACTGCAGATATTAAGGAACAATAGGAGGTAAGTCAAGCCTACACAAACTACTTGCCAGAGCTGTTGACAACTATTTTGGATGACAAAGAATTGCAGCAAAAAGATTACTACAGCTTCCAACAGGTAAGAAAACACCAGGCTGTTAAAAAAAAATGAAATGAAAAGCTAACCTTTCTGCTTCTCTAGAATGCTGGCAAGCAGTGAGATCCAGGAGCTGAAAAAAAGGAGTGTCTTATATCTTTCTTGGCTACCCTAAGTTCACATTGCATGAAAGTCATGAGGAAAAGGGAAGCACATCAACCTATATTTTCTCTGACCCCAGACGTGTCAGTGCAGTACAAATCATACACGTCTGACTGAGCCAGCTCAGGGCACTGGTTCTACCTGACAGTGCAGGGCGTCAGTACGTTTACGCGTTCCGAGCTTCCTGCTTCTCGCAACTATCGCTTCTGCTGCTGCTTCTCCTTCTCCCTTGTGGCCTCTTAGGCCCAATCCCTGCCTCCTGTCAGCAAGAGCGGCAGCAGCCCAACCGGGATCAGAGGCTTCTCCACCTACAGAGTTGCAGCAGCCAGCAAAGCAAAGCCCAGCAGAATTGCACACGCGCACAGGCAAACGCTCACCGCCACCTCCCCCTTTCCCCGCATACTCCACCCACCGCCCGACTTCGAGCCTGGGGTCTCCCGCTCACAGCCTCGGCTTTCTCCCGGGACCACTCCCCGCTGGCCTTGGTCTCCTCCCCTTTGAGAAGGGCTCCTCCGCACAAGGGCAGAGCCTGCGCCCCAGGCGGCAAAGCCCGTCGCTTACCACGGCCTCACCCCTCTTGCTCCTCGCCTACCCCACTTGCCACACACGCCTCCCCTATACCGGCTGCCCCTGCAGGGCACCCCCCCCCCTCCGTTTTCTCCGCTGCCCGACTTCTCCAAACGATGGGCGACTGTCCTCCTAAGCTTGGGAGCCGCGCTATTCCCCAGCCCTCCTCCCGGCCCACCTTCGGAGACCTCCCAGGGATAGCCCTGCCCCCATCGCCAGCGCCGCTCTCGCTGACTCCCATATCCCAGCTGCCAAGGACCCCGCTCGGCTCCAGCCGCGTCTGCCCCCACATTCCTCCGCTCCTCGCCTACCGCGCCAGCCAGCCTGCCTACCTCTCCCTCGAGAGCCCCACGAGCCCCCCACCCCTCCACTACCTCTTCCCTTCATTACCGGGCTCCAACCTCCCTCCCAGCCGTCGCGAAGTCCTCCTGCCTTCCTCCTCCCAGTCTCCCAGCCCTTCCAGCAGCCTTACCCGCCGCACAGTACGTTCTCCGGCCCTCCCCTCC